GCAGGTTGAACAGCCAGGCAGGGGTGAAAAATCAGAGAGATGGCACCATGTGGAGAACAGGAGCTGAAATTCCTGCCTCCAGCACTCCACCTTCCCTTGCCTCTCCCAGTGTCCCAGACAAGGATCCGTGTGCAAGAAGAGCCCCAGTCTCAGCATCCAGGTTTCTGTGTTGCTTGGGTGGCTCGGGACCTTTATTTTCTACTGGAACTATGTTTTTATGGTTTCTTTTATTATCTCAGTTCTATCAAGTAACATTTAGACATCATTTCTTCCCTGTGGCACAGCAGCAAAGCTGAAACCCAACAGCATTTTCTCTTGATGTTTATCAGCACAGAGCGGGGTTCAGCTGGTCTGAGCTCCAAACTGACCATGGGCTTTATTTATCCCAGCCAGCTTTGGGCAATGGTATTTTTAGGTATTGTTTTATATTTGGTAGGGAAGAGACTTCAATGTCAGTAACAATCATGAGGTTGTGGACTCTCCATTCCTGGATGTATTCCAGGCCAGATTGGACAAGGCTTGGAGCAACCTGGGATAGCGGAAGGTGTCCCTGCCCATGGCAGGGGGTGGAATGAGATGAGCTTTAAGGTCCCTTCCAAGCCAAATGATTCTGGGGTTCATTCTGTGATTCCCTGATTCTCTTCTCCCGGAGTTACCAGGCTGCTGATGAGCTCTATGGCTTTGGCACCTTGAAAAACTCCATGAAATCAGAGCAGGGATTATCCCAAGCACAGGATGCTCCCTGCAAGGTTTTCTTTGCATACATTTTTTAAAACCCTATCATTCCTGAATTTGTTTTAACTGATGCTTTTCGCAGCACTTTGACTATTCCAGCACAGAAGAGATACAAACAATGCACGTGGTTATTGGAAGCATCAGATCTAAGTTAATCAATATTGTATTTTCCAGCACATCAAGCATTCAGGAGGCCAACTGCAGGTGGACATGGCAAGTGGCAGACGCTGTGTTCCAAAAAACCCCCTGTGCCACTTGCAAGACACCAAAATCCGTGATCTGCTGGCAGATGAACAGGAAGAGCTTTTAGGCTCTTTGGCTTCTGTTAAGGACATCTTTTTGATCCATTTTCCAGCCTCCGGGGCTGCTCCTGTCCCAGGAGACTGATAAAGGAGTTCATGAGCACAGAAGAAAGGAAAGACCGGAATATTCATGTGCTCCAAACTCCTGGGAACTTGCAAGAGGAGAGAAAAATCTGAGGTATTTTCTCAGTAGGATTTCCTTACTAAGCAACATTTTTCTCTTGCGTGTAGACAACTGGTTCAAAGCAGCACCGACACCTCATGCCAGGCCCTGCTCCCCTTCCGCTCTGTCGTGGTGCAAACCACGAGCAGATGGTGCAGTGCAGTGGAAAATCAGATCTCCAAGAAAATGCAGAGCTGAGAATAAAACAGCCCTCGAGGAGAAAGCTGCGTGGTTTATTTCAGGATAAAATGAAAAACTGAGATCCTTGGGCAAAAATTAGACTACTCCTTCAGAGTGGAGTATTCCACTTCTGTGAACTGCCTCGTTCCTTCCCGAGTGAGGGAACATCCATCCCTTCACAGCTGAGGGCTCATCTCATTTGTTGTCTTTCAGTTCATTGATCTGGTTTCTCCAGGCTCCCACGTGACTGTTCTTTGCTGAACTAACAAGCGTGATTATCCCTGATTTTTTCTCTCGTTTTGACTTTCTTGCACGCTGACGACAAACCTTTCAGAAAATTCCTTCCCACTTCAGCTGCAGCCTGACCTGAATTGCATCCATCTTTGTTTAAACCCGCTGGGGCATAAACATCCAGCCAAGATAGGTAAGGATATAATGTCAAAACTTCAATTCTGGTTTTATGTTTGTGCATAAAGAGATAAAATACCCCTGAAAATGTGAGCGTTTCTTCCATTAAGCCTGATTTAGTGCATGTGGTCTCTGCACTTGTGGCCTTTAAAGTTCCTGACATGTCCCTGCCTCGCTGTGCCCTGTCCCCAAAATTAAAACTTTTAACTCTGCTCCAGTGAAATTCCAGCTCCTGACATTCCTCTGCTTGCACTGGAGTGTCAGGAGTGAGTACCAGGGAAACTCCTTGCGCTGGTTTGTGGTGAAGAACTGTTGGATTTGATCTCGGCTCGCTGCGTTTTCGTGACCTACATCCTGTTCATAGGAGCTGAAAAAAATCTTGGTATCTAAGATTAAAATGGGATGATGTTTATTTATCTGGAGGAAAACAACAGGAGTGAAATATTGGCCTTTCTTACAGAAATAGCTGCTCTGCCCTGATCCCTGATTTCTGCTTTCTTTTATCTGCAGCTGCATCCCTGCGTGTGCCTGTGGTGACCCCCCTGTGTAATTCAGATTGCACCTGAAATTTGTGGAATTCTCCTTGATCCTTCTGACAAGGAACCAAACCCATTCTGCAGGAGGGCACGGAAATGAGCCTTAGATGGATGTAAGACCCCATCATCATCATTATTTATGACAACTCCATGCACCAGACTTGCTGAGAAAAATCCAAGACTGGGCCATTTACCAAAGCAACAAAGAGGATTCTGCTGCTCCAAAGACTTGCTACTTGTTGATAACTTGCCATCCAGCTTTTCTTTTTTTTTTCCAAAGGGAAAATGAATGTGGAGGGTGCTTGGAGTCAATTTTTGGTGAGGAATATGCAGTCACTGTCTCTGCTGGTATCAATGGCCCTTTCACTGTACTGGGCTTTACTGTACAGGGAACAAACACAGTTTCCATGGCAGTGTAAACACAAATACATCCCACACTCCAAAGAGTGACTCACACGTGCTGCAGAGAAGAGAGAAACTTCCCTGTCTTAATCCGAACACATCTGGGAGAGGAGGATGAAATTATCTCAGTTTAAAAGTATTCTATAAATATTATGTAAACCGAGATTTGCTCGGAATAATTCCATGCCTTGGCAGATCTGAAAGACAAATCCTTTGAAGGTAAAGGAATAAGACAAGGCCAGTGCCTGTTTGCAGTAGCAATGTTCAAATCTATAATGATTTTCTTCTTAAATATAGACACAACCTGACAGCTCTGGAAGCTGACACAAATTCTCCATGAGCAGTTTATCTCACTCTTTCAGAGAGTTACAAGAAGAATTTAACTGTTGTAATTGAACAGTAAGTTCAGAACAAAAGGAAGAGATGGATAAATCTGTGAGGACTACTTAGTACTGGTCTTAAAAGTCCTGGTGTTGCAGGTGTTAACCTGAAATAGTCTGAGATAGTGAGACCCTGACCTCACGAGTGTCTTAGAACATCATTTATCCAAAACTGATGTCCAGATTTGGAGGAAAATGAATCTGGGATGGAATTAAAATCAAATCTGTGATGTGCACTTTGTAACAGGGAGGAAAAGGTGGTGAGCACTGTTTTGGAGGAATAAAACATGCTCTCAGTGTGTATGAGAGGAAGAGTTTTCCCTAGCAAGACTTTTCTAGGTCCCAAAACCTTGAGGTTTTTTATGACCCCGAGCTAGAGAGTTTATATCCCTTCATAAGGACCTGTTATTTTTGTCATACTCCATCTCTGAAGGATGTCTCATCTGCTTCTCTTACTAACCTAAATCCTCTCCCAGGATCTGTTCTGCCTGCAGAGTATTCAGATTAAATGTGAAGATTTCCAAAGGCTGCTCTGAGCAGGAATATTTCCTTTGGATCTTACTGCAGGCGAAAGCAAAGCAATGTCATGGCAAAACTGCAGATTCCTCTTGGCTGGGCTGACATGTGAATGTCGACAAGGGGAATTGAGTATTTGAGAGTCACTGAGGTAAAACAAGGCCTGAAGGGTGAGGATTGCTATTTATACAGTGACTCATGGCAGAGCACACAACTTACAGAGAGCTTACAACAAAGTTAGGAGCAGTAGCACTGAAGCTCTACTACGGGAATGAGGGTTAAAACAAAACCTTTCATGAGATCAACTGGTACAGCTGCAGGAGCCTGACCTAAATCTGACACAGCCCCCTCAGTCAGGGCCAAAACCAAAGGGAGAGGGACAATAAATCTGTCAGTCGTGGTGTCAAAGGGTGTCTCAGCACACAGATAGAGAGACAGTTTGGAATCTGTCCGAACTGAACATCTGAAGGAAAATTAAATAACTACAAACAGCAGCATCTTTCTGAATGAAGGTGAAGCGTCTGAATGTCTCATTAATGCACTGCAGAGAGTAATGTCTGTCTCTAAATCACCTCGGTTGTGCTGCAACGTGCAGGAAACCTCGGGGGAGAAAAGGAATAAGTGAGAAAAATAGAGAGGGGAAGCAGTTCCTGGCAATGGCTCTTGGGGGCTGTTTTGTCACCACTTTGCTGCCCTTCCCCCCTGGGAACAGTCACTTCTGACTGCTCTTCGTTGTCTGTTCAAATCACATCAATTCAAAAGGGTTATGAGAGGCTGTATTTAATCAAATGTTTGCTATGTCCAGGTGTCTTTGTCTGTCTCCTTTCCCAGATTTATCCAGAGATAATTATCTCGTGTTGGAGGCTCGTATCCCCTTGAGGACCAACGAGAATATCCACTTAAAAATTTAAAAATAATTGGAACTAACAGAATGCCTGTAGATCCCTGTCCCGTTCCTTCTGTCCTGGTCTGTCCCCACTTGGTGGAGGTGAACTCTCCAAACTGGAATTGTTCTTTGTCCTGTGGGGCCCCGCTCTTGGTCGGTACTCAGATATTCACAGGAAAAAATACCATAATACTAAAAATTAACAACTGAATAGAATCTGACAGACTTTTCTCCCCCATCAGGAACATAAACACGAGGAATTTCAAAGGCGTGACCAAGCCTGTGATGCACCAAAAGCCATTAAAATTCATTTTTAGGCTGCCTGGCACTGTAAGAAGAATGACACAGTGTATGTGCTCGGACAGTAGAAGCCACTGTGGAGATTTTTTCAAATCCTGTTGCAATGAATGGAAGCTACAATAACGGAAGCTACAACCGCTACAATAAAAGTTGATATTCATCAGAATGAAAGTTGATATTCATAAAACTCACCCATGGTTTAAAATAAGTGGTCTGCAGAGGGTAGTAAGTAATGCATATAAGAGATTTACACTTTTGGCCTGGCCATTTGTGGTGTAATGAGTGTTTTAAGGTCGCTCAAAAGCAAGGGGGGTGATGCACCACCACACCAGTGAGTACCATACTATTAATTTTTGTAGTGTCGTGGCTTTTAAAGCTTGTTTCCGTGCGCTGTACAACTATGTCCTCTCCTTAGGGAAGCGGCCACGGCCCCAACGCTGCCAGAGCTCAAGGAGCGCTCAGACATCGCTCTGAGGCACGGGGTGGGATTTTGGGGGCGTCATGTGCACGGCCACGAGTTGGACTGGATGATGCTTGTGCATCCCTTCCAGCTCAGGATATTCTGTGATTATGAGTGTGTTCGGACGGGATACTTTGCACGTATTGAGGACATTCTGTGATTAAACCAGCCCCGCGCTCGCTCTGAGGCGGCGCCACCATTTTCCGCCCGCCCCCCGCCCTTCCCCTCACGGAGCCCGCGCGCCGCGCGGCGCCCCCTGGCGGCGCTGGGCGGGGTATCGGGATGAAGCGCGGGATTAAGACACATCTCGCGAGATTTCTCCCTCCGCCGTTTCCCCCCCAAGATGGCGGCGCCCACGGAGTCGCCGTCGCCGCCTCAGGGCCGGTTCCGCACCCGGGACGTGCTGGTGCCTGGCGGCCCCTCCGATTTCGGGTCTCTCCTGCTGTCTCCGCCGGTGCTGGCGGGGCTGGAGGCAGCCGGCTTCCTCCGACCGTCGCCGGTGCAGCTGAAGGCCATCCCGCTGGGGCGCTGCGGGCTGGGTGAGCGGGCGGGCGGGCGCGGGGCTGGGGGGCACCCAGAGGCACCCCGGGGGGCTCCGCTGACCTCTGTGGGGGCTCTTTGCAGATCTCATCGTTCAGGCCAAGTCCGGCACCGGCAAAACATGCGTGTTCGCCACCATCGCCCTGGACGCGGTGCTGCTGGAGAGCCCCGCCACGCAGGTGAGCCCCCGGTTCGCTTTGCAACAGAAAATCCCTCTTTTTTTGGGGAAAAAAGGGCGTTGAAGCCCTTGAGGCACAGCGGTTTAAATCGGGCGTTTGTTGTCAGAGCCACCCTGCGGCTCTCACGTTTAATCCTCCCCCCTCACAGATCCTGGTCCTGGCACCCACCAGGGAGATCGCGGTGCAGATCCACGCCGTGATCACGACTATCGCGATAAAAATGGAAGGCTTGGAATGCCACGTGTTCATCGGGGGGACCCCGCTGAACCAGGACAAGAGCAGGCTGAAGAAGTGCCACATCGCTGTTGGCTCCCCAGGTAGGGATGAGCTTCGTTGTGATTCAGGTCCTGTGTGGTCCTTCACAGGACATAACTGGAGCTCTTGATACCTGGGTGGGGGTTTTTATGTTGTTATTAATAGTGCAGAGCATCAAAAGGCTGAGTCAGAGGCATTGAGATGAGCTCTTTTTAGTGAGAGGTTATTTTTAATGAGAGGTTTGGCAGGCTGAGTGTTGCAGCCCGAAGAAGAGAAGGTGGTGTGGAGACCTCTCAGCACCTTCCAGTGTCTAAAGGGGCTCCAGGGAAACTGGAGAGGGGACTCTGCACCAGGAACTGGAATAACAGGACAAGGATTAGTGGGTTCAAACTGAAAGACGGGAAATTTAGGTTGGATGTTGGGACGAAATCCTTCCCTGTGAGGGTGGGGAGGCCCTGGCACAGGTTTTCCAGAGAAGCTGTGGCTGCCCCTGGGTCCCTGGAAGTGCCCAAGGTCAGGTTGGATGGGACTTGGAGCAACCTGGGCTAGTGGAAGGTGTCCTTGCCCATGGCAGGGGGTGGAACTGGGTGATCTTTAAGGTCCTTCCCATCCCAAACCATTTTATTTTATGTCTCCGTGATTATCCCAAATATGCCCTTTTTTAAGTCTTACTAAAATAAGTAAAAAAAACAACCATTAAAACTTCATCATTAGAACCTTTCAGTTCATAACTTTTGAAGTTCTTTTTCCTCTTTTCCTCACATGCAGGTCGAATCAAACAGCTCATAGAGCTGGACTACCTGAACACAGCCAGTATCAGGCTCTTCATCCTGGATGAGGCAGACAAGCTTCTGGAGGAAGGCAGCTTCCAGGAGCAAATCAAGTAAGAAAAAACCACTCATCTCATGCATTTCTCAGTGGATTAGATGCGTTTTTGTTAATCATTCCCACTTTTGTGTCTCCCAGCTGGATTTACTCCTCACTCCCAGCCAACAAGCAGATGTTGGCTGTGTCAGCGACTTACCCCGAGTCCTTGGCTCGTGCTCTGACCAGGTACATGAGGGAGCCAACCTTTGTGAGGCTGAACCCCACTGATCCAAGCCTCCTTGGTGAGTAAACATCCAATTATAGTGATATTGTTGCCAATAGATTAGGAGGAATATCCTAAAACCAAAATACCTACCTTTAAAAGTCATGATTTTTCATAATTTCACTCCACACCTGAGTTGTTCAGTTATAAAGTATTGATTCCCAGTGAACCTTCTAGTAGAAGGTGTCCACTAGACCATGGAATAAGATGGTCATTAAGGTCCTTTCCCACCCAAACCATCTTGTGATTCTGTGTATTTAAAACATCAGTGACAAATAGGTTTTTTATCCATTCAAAAATATTTCAGCTTTCTAAGAAAAACCTCTCTCCTGGAGGTTCTTATTTGGCCACATGTGTGTGTTTGAATTGGAATTTTTTCCTTTGCCTGCAGTGACACAGTTGACATAGCACTGTACATGTTTTTATGGCAGCCCTTAATCTGTTCTTTTGGTTTCTTTTCTCAGGGCTCAAGCAGTACTACAAAATTGTGAATTCCCATCCACTTCCACATAAAACATTTGAGGAAAAAACCCAGCACCTGCAGGAATTGTTCAGCAAGATTCCATTCAATCAAGCCTTAGTCTTCTCAAATTTGCACAGCAGGTGATAAATTTGAAATAAAATCTGTAAAAAGCAGTGGTTGTAATGTCCAGTCAGGGATAAATTTATGGATATGGATAAGTTTTTGAGACCTGTAGGGTCTCAGAGCACTCTGCAAATTTCAGATCTGAAATACAGCCTGAGGAATGCAGTTTTATTCCCAATTTTCCTTGTCTGTGTTCCATCAGGGCTCAACATCTGGCTGAAATCCTGACATCCAGAGGCTTCCCTGCTGAGTGCATTTCAGGTGAGTCCATTCACAATTTCTGATGAACCTGTTCTGTTCTATTCTGTTGAAATTGTGCATAAATATAACCTAATGTAGGAAAATTAATCTTAAATCTTGGTTTGCATGGCCTCTGATTAAATAACTAAGAATAGCATTTGAATCTTCCTAAGTCTCTTGAGACTTAATCAGTGTAAAAATTAATTAATATTTAACTTTCCTGTTTTCACATTTGTTGGAGAGTAATTTTTATGAATGCGTTTGCTTGTTTGTAAAGAGAAGGTTGACTCACATTTGCAGGTTGAAGCTGGGTTTCTTTGGGATGCAGGTGTTGAATTTAAATCTTTATTTCAGTTCTCTATAAAAGCTGAAAGCTTGCACCTGCTGCTTATTAGAAACATTGAATTTTTACTTCAGCTTCCATGGCTTATGTATTTAAAATCCATCTAAAATCAGTGGTGTTTAAGTGGGTTAAGCATCTGCATAATTGGCTCCTATTGAAAATCAATAGAATTATTTTTGTAATGAATTACTTTGTTTTTCAAGTTTTGTTTGTTCCTTGTTTACTCATTTAAAACTGATATTTGAAGAGGTTTTTCTCAGCCTTATTTTTGATCTCATCCACAAGTTTTACAAACCAGTGTTTTTTAGATTTTTGAGGGGCATAAAGCTGCAGAATGTACTTTATTTCTAATTTTTAATCTTTCCAGGCAACATGAATCAAAACCAACGACTTGATGCTATGGCCAAATTAAAGCAATTCCACTGTCGAGTCCTGATCTCCACAGACTTGGTGAGTTTTTAGTGCTTTTGAACAAGCTTTGGACAGGTTTTATTTCAAATTTACTGCCTGCTATGCACATGGTGCAGCATACAGGAGTATTGCACATAAAGTTATTCAGAGAATTAGATTTGACTTGGAATTGAACATAAATGTGCTGATCGAGCACTGTGAGACTGTGTGACTTATTTCCACTGTGAACTTAAAAATTGCTTCCTATTCCTCATCTGGTTGGGATGAGATGATCTTTTAAGATCTCATCCAACACAAACCAGTCTGTGATTTGGTTCATAAATTAATTTATCTGTTGCTTTGTTAATGCTTTAAAGTTCAAGGGACTTCAGAATTGTTTCCTTTGCATGGGAGCTGTGGGGAGGAATAGTTTGTTTCTTGGTGCCACAGTGACATTGCAAACAGCTGAACAGAGCAGTGGTTATGTTTGAGACACTCTCAGCTTCTCATTGTTGAGGAATTTTGTTCTTTGGTTGATGGTTTGAGGTGCTGCCATGAGATGTCTCCGTGTTGTCAGGTTGGACTTTTTGATGCTGGGGGGAGGAAAAAATAATCCTGGCTTGTATTTGATATGTGGAAGGTAGAAGAAATATGATTCCTAGTTTTCATGTCCCAAAGCAACGTGCCTGTTTTACCTGTAATACTGTGAAATGGTTGGAAAATTGTGGGTGCTTTATGGTGTGTTAGAACAATTCAAAGTTCTCATCTGAGTTGGTGGCAGTAACTCCAGGGAGGTTGGACCAGGTGGCCCCACTGTGGTCCCTTCCAGCCTCACCCTGTGATCCTGTGTTTATTTAAAGCTCTGTTCAGCACATTCACTTCTCACTCCCCTTCTCTCCTTCCCATTTTCTCCAGACATCCCGTGGAATTGATGCTGAGAAAGTGAACCTGGTTGTCAACCTGGATGTCCCTGTGGACTGGGAGACCTACATGCATCGGATTGGCAGGGCTGGGCGCTTTGGTGAGAGCCAAATCCATGGATTTGTGGAGCTTTCCCTTACTTTGCTGGCTCTGTTTGGTGATTAATTAATTCTTTTGTGTGTCACAGGCACTCTGGGTTTGTCTGTGACCTACTGCTGCCGTGGGGAGGAGGAGAACACGATGATGAAAATTGCTCAGAAGTGCAATCTGCAGCTCCTTCCTCTGCCAGGTGTGCTCTGGGCTTGGGATGCAGCTGGGATTTGGTTGTTTTGTGCTATTCAGAGCTTCAAACAAGTCCCCAGGGAGCTGATATGTGGCTTCTCTGCTGGAGCTGCATTACTTTTAGGCCAGGTTTGTCATAATCTCTGCTGATGACTCCTTGTGGAGCTGCTGCAGTTGTGTGGAGCAGTAAAAATGAACTGAGTGCTCAGGGAGAGCAACTCTGCATCCAGCTGGGCTTAAGCAACCACAGAACTACCTGGATTCACAGAAATCTGGTATTAAACCTTGCTCAAGTGTGAAGATACAGTAGTGGAAGGAA